ACATAAAAAAAATGTATAGAATAAATATTATGTAACAAATATTTATTACAAACTATAGTACCAAAGTGCGTTATGATCTTAGAAAAATAGTGCACCAACATTTTTATGATAAAAAAAAGTGTCATATGTTGGGATAAATGCACAAACATTGTAGTAGGTATTCATTTAAAGGTAGTCTAAAATTATGGGGACACAAATAAAATATGAGTGTCACAAGACGATTAGGTACTCTTCATAAAGAAACTTATAAAATACTTACAATCATAAGCTAGCCTTGATTTGGTTGATTCATCCATATATATGTTTATGTATGATATAATTTTATTGTTTGATGTATACATTTAAGTACAGCAGAATACAAATTATCTGAACGTCAATTCAACTGGACGAGTAAAAAGTCTTTCAATAACTTGTAATCATATTTTGTCATTCCACGTAATCATAATTGTAGATTATAATATATCCGCAATTTTAGTATATATTTATGTATAAAAATTACTACATGAAATATTAAAATAGAACACTGATTATTAGCTATCACTGTAGAGTCGGTATGTGCTTTCAGTTGCCCAGTCAGTGTCTAACCTTTGTATTATTTTGTCAGTCATTATAACGTATAACTTTCAATGTTCTATATTTCCATTATCCGGATAATTGGCGTTCTACTGTATTTTATAAAATGGTTCACATCGGTGGAATCGTGAACATTTTAGACTTTTGTACTATCACTTCATACCTATACAAAAACAAACATAAATTACAAACTTGGAATACGTAAGCAGTATTTAAAATTAATATTAATGTAAATAACTAGCTTTGATGCACTTAAATAATAATAATAATCATTTGAATAGTAGTAAACTACCTGCAACTACAAAGTCCAGATATCATTGCTATTTATAAAATTCTATTTAATTTGTTGTTAAAATATAATAGAACTGTAGAGGAAACCATAGTACTGTAATTAAACAGAAGCATTATTCTAAATAAAACCAATTTTTGATTAAATTTTATTTTAACACTAGTAATTAGTGATGAGTGTTATTCAAACAACCCATGTTGATTTATTGTAGTATTTAAACATAATAAACATAATGTACTGGCGTCTGGCAACTATTTACAAATTTTATATGAATGCATACCTATAAAAATTGTAACTTCTAATTTTATAATAATAATAAAAGTAATTTAATTCTTTTATGAAAAATTTTAATATTAATACTAGTTATATGCAATTTAGTAGCAAGTATGAAACATTTAATGCATAACATGCCTAATTTTCTCAAATTAATTCAATTAAAAATGTTATTTAAATATGTAGTTAGTAGTTGGGCACGTGGCATTGTCAACCATCACTAAATTATTGATTAAAAGTACATTTGTACTTTGTATTCGGATATTATTAACTTTTAATTTACATTAATAGGTATTAATTACATGGATAATTTATAATATAAAATGTATTATATTATATTTTTACCTGAGACATTATAATATGAATGTATAAAACAAAGACGGTCATGTAGTGGATAGGTGTCAACCAGTAAAATAAAAAATTATATAGGTCTGCCCTGAACAACAACCATTTGATACTGAGCTGATAACGTTTCAAATGCGTCTCATAAAGAGGTACTACAGATAACTCAGATGTATATTGTACAATGTTTCTGATTCTGATCAACAGGAACGTGTTAAACAGAGTTTTTTGAGATTTACTTGTTTTGTGGTCGGCATTTTTCCCAACTTTATCAATATCACTAACCTACTTACTCTTGCTGAACGAAGAAGAATATTAAATATAAAATGTATTCATGGTCTAATAACTAACCAAATTCATTCCCCACTTTTGCTATCCCAAATAAATTTTAAAGTCTCTTCGTATGCAACTCATTCCCAAAAAACTTTCAATATTCCTAGCCAACACAAATCATTTACAAAATGAGCCTCTTAGACGTATGATGTCACTCACCAATGAGGAGAACCCCTCATTTGATGATAATTTGTTTTAATGTATTGTTTAAAGTTACTGCTAAAATATACTGTTAATAAACTGTTATAGCAGATATAACTGTAATAACTTAGCTAATATACTGTTTTAATATTTTACTTCTGTTATTGTATTAGGTACATATAATATTTATTTATTTATATATTTATAAGTTATTTAATGTCCTACTATTATATGTTACTTTAATGTTAAAGGGGAAACCCGTTTATTTGTATAAAATAAAATATTGCATTTAAAAGTGTCGGTGACGGTTGTTTCAATTTTAAAAATTTGTAAATCATATTTTATATTTTTGTTACTACCTTAATTATAATACTTTTCCACTAATCTTCAGCTTGATACTTATTTAGGAGGAGGGGTTTATACGGTGTATTATATGAACAAAAATTCCTTAACAGTAAAAACTCTTACCCCCTGTAAAATAGTCAGATTTTGTTAGGTAATTTATTTTTTATTTAAAAGAGAACATTTTTCAGGTCGAATCAAAAGCCAAATTTCTATTTTACTTAGAATAATATAGAAAAATACTTTTGAAAAAGAATAAACGCATATTTTAGCTTCTATAATAATTATAGACTTATTATAATATAATTTATATTTATACCTTTTAAAATCGGGCTTGGGTCCGACCAGCAAAATGTTCTTATTTTAAATAAAAAACAATTAACAAAATCGGACTATTCAACAGGGCGTGAGGGATTTTCATGAAAGACACGTTTATATACAAAAAACACACCTGCTCTGACGCCCTTAAAAGGATGCCATGAAGACATTTGTTGTCTCCATCTTACAAGTGCACTACATAGACAATTTTACAGCTCAACAACTCAACAAATCACGTTTAGCTCCGTCAGTTTAAATATTAGAGCGAATTGACCTCTTATAAAATTTAAAGGTAAGATTATTAACTAAGGCATTTCATAGGCTTTTTTATTGTATCTTAATTTTAAAAAACCTTTCAAATGGGAAATGGGAAATTGTAACTGTATATTACTCATAACTTGTTTTAAAATAAAATATAATAAAATACCTATGAAATTCCCTAGTGAATAATCTTATTTTTAAATTTATAAGAGGTCAATTCACTCTAATTATTAAATTAACGTGGCTGAGCGTACAATTTGCTATGCTGGACGTGTGTAAGACGCAGCAACATACGTGAGTGCGATATTCTGTAAGTCAAAACTGCTGTCATGTGTAGTAAATCTATGTTATAAACAATATGGTATGATCTATAGTATTGATGATCTGATCTTTCTGTTGGTCCAAGACATACATGACATGAGTAGATATAATGTTATTGTGTATTAATAATATGGGTTGGCGCGTAACACGTTGCAAGTACAGAGATCACTAGGGCTTCTTTCATAGCCGTGCGTACGATACATGAGCAGATGAAAACGCGCGTATGAAACGAGACTAGTTATCATTTCACACTTCCCTCGTTATGTACGGGACATTCATTGTTGAAATGAAAAACGCATGCGACACCGCAAGGCTCTAAATCATTCCATTACATGTCATGACTGGTCAGCACACGTATCGTACGCGCGACCGACGATCCACGAGTACAGATCATACCGTACGTAGGTACAAAAAAACGGGAGGGTGTCATTTGAGTGTCTGTGAAACAGTGTACCTATTTATAATAATACATTTTTCATACGATGCGTACCCGGGCGGCTGTGAAAGATTTCTAAAGGGCCGTTTCGCGTGAACGCGAGCGTCTACATTTACATTGGTTAAGTTCATCATACGCGCCATACCGGTGAGGAAATCGTCGAAGTGGTGAGTACGGTGCGTCGCGTAAGATACGCGTCCATATGAAACGGCCCTAAGCGTCACATAAAACGAGCAAAATTTGTTTGCATACCCACAAGAAGAACACCAGACGACAGACAACAATGCCCGCGATCATGAATTACGACTTCGACTTCGATGTTGCAGTAAGTTACTTTCATACTATTACAGAGTAATCACTAATCACTTGGTTAAAATATGAAATGAAATGTAATTTATATTTTACATACACTAAGACATAATATGAGTTGCGGACGCCGGACTGTGCAATAGACCGGCGACCATCTGAACATGATGAAAGCGCCGGTGAATATGACAATCGTCGATAAAAATGTCAAAATAATAACAGCCACTCTAACAGTCTAACCTCACTTATTTCTTGGTGTCCAAAACTCCAAACACTCCAAACACCAAGTTCCTCGTCATCGATAATCATCGGTGAGTGCTGACTCTCACCAGAAAAAACACCATCCAACATAAAACCACAACCGTGGTTCAGCACGCAACATAGGGAAGATGAGAACGTGATAACTGATACTAATCTCACAGTTCCACCGACCCGCCCCACCCTATCACGAGTTCGACGTTATCAGTCAAAACGCGTCAGTGATAACATTAATTTGTTGGTAAGTTATTGTTTGAGTATTCGATGAGCAAATGAGTTACACCTTATATAGATACATAATATTATTTTTATCTATCCGCCCCTCAGTCTTCGTCACATAAGGAACGTAGGATTATTATAGTATTATAATCCGTCAGTCGGTGTGCGCAAGTTCATCATAAACAACGATTATTATTATTATCTGACAAGTGACAAAATTTCGATGACCGGCGGGTGTATGTTGATTATTCACTGCCGCCTGATAAAAATATAAAATTCGCATTCTGTTCGTACGCACGCCAGCGCCGCAGCCCCGTCCCCTCTTCATCACTGACGCCGACGCCGCCGCAAACTTTTGCCGACCGACAGACGACGGTTAATCAAGAAAGTTTTGATACATACCGACTGCCGACACTCACCGTGACAGTGTGACACAATTGGCCAAGATCGTAAACTTTCCACGATAATAATAATATAATATATTCAATACATTTTATACATGTGTGATGTGTGCATAAAATTTTTTTTTAAAAATGCTATAACGTTCAACATTATTACATACAACTTAAACGTGTTTGTGTAACCTTCATGTTTATTGACGAAAGCATCTGCTTGTTACAAATCATGGGCAATTGGACTAGTTGTTGCTCATACAGCAGCCCCCTGTCTAGGCGCAAGGACGCCAACGGAGCTATTAATGAATTCACGCAAGAGGGTGAGGAGAGTGTTGGGAACTTACAACACATTAGTGAACGCGAACATGACGACTGGAACACTGACCCATCTGTTCATCCGAAAGTTGCAACAATATTTTTAGAAAGATCAAAAGTTGAAAGTAAGTTAGATTTTATCTAAGCCACTTATGTCTATTTTTAATTTATTTTTCTTGGATGTTATTGCAACGAAAGCCTAATTATGTTGTTTTTAATGTAGGTATATTCAAATATTTAATGACCTATAATAAGCATTGACCCTTTTTTTATTTTACAAATAACTGCCTACAAGTGACTTTTAAATACATTTTTTTTAGTTTCTTAAGAATAAGAAAAGTACTTAACTAATTATTGTTATGTTTTGAGTATGAAGTTTTGGACTTACCTTATCACTTTTAAAACAAACATACTTGCGTATAATATTTGCATAAATATTTATAATTTATCTAGTTATACATTAAAAAACAAGCAAATGCAATATTTTAGTCCTAACAAGTAGGTATAGCCCAATAAATAATTTCCTTTTTTTTGTAATTTAATTACTGAAGATGCGTGAAGATGTTTTAGTGAATTGATAACTGAAACTATGATTTACAGATAAATCTTGATAACAAAACCTTTTACCTCCTTATGGTAGATAATTTATTTTGTCATAAACAAAAACCTCTTTAAATATAGGCACTTAATGTAAATCCACAGTATATATTTCATAATAAATATTACATTGATTACCTATTTTAAATGTTAGCCACTTAACTCTTTAATAATGAGTGAGTGCGTTTTGTTTTCAAATAAGTATATTATTTATTGGTACCTATTATAATACAAACACATTTTTTCCAGATGGTTTAACAAGAAAACAAAGTCAGTCTCAGGTCTGTTTACTTACATTATTTTGTATTAATATCTAAGTAATTATAAAATACTAATCATAATATTTCTTGTAAATATTAAATTGTATTAATGTGTCAAGTTAAATAACTTTTACCTATTAAAAATTAGTATTATAATTACTTCTTATATTAATTAATGAGTTGCAGTGTATATTTCATATTTTAAAAAGTGTTATCTGTAGTTATTATAATAACTTAATCTATTTTGTATTTTTTTTTTTAATTTTACAGATTGTAGACTTCAGATCTCTAAAAAAAAGTAGTTCATGTTCAACTATATATTTAGATGATAGTACAGTATCTCAACCAAATCTAAAAAATACAGTAAAATGTGTAGCACTTGCAATCTACTATCATATAAAAAATAGAACTTCTGAAAGACAAATTGAAATTTTTGATGAAAAATTACACCCCTTAACTGTAAGTATGAGTGTAGTTAACTTATAAAAACGTTTATGTTACTTTTTAATAACTTTGAACTATGTTAATATAAATATTTTACTTGAATTATTAGAGAGATAGAGTACCTGATAATTATGATGTTCATAGTCCAGAGCATCGTCATATATATAAATTTGTTCGAACATTATTTAATGCTGCACAATTAACTGCTGAATGTGCTATTATAACATTAGTTTATTTAGAAAGGTAAAGTTTTTATTTTTATTATTTAGTTATTTTTATTTTATTCATTAATTTAAAAAAAAAAATGTATAGGTTGTTAACTTATGCAGAAGTTGATATAACACCTGCCAATTGGAAGAGAATTGTTCTTGGGGCAATTTTGTTGGCTTCAAAAGTATGGGATGATCAAGCTGTATGGAATGTAGATTATTGTCAAATTCTTAAAGATATAACAGTAGAAGATATGTATGTACAATTTGTATTAATATTTTTAACTTTGTGTTCTAAAACATAATACTTCAAGTATATTTAGAGTATTATAATATATATTTAACATATTAAGTTCAACTACTTAACATATTACATTTTTTAAAAGGCTAACCTGCCTTCAATTTTAATAGCGAAGTCAAAGAAATTAACAAAAAAAATGCATTGTTACTTTGAAGGATCCTGTGTATCTTTACATGAACCAATTTATCTGGGTTTCTCACCACTCACCTTATTACATTTTTAATTTTTCTTAGTCTATTCACAATTAATTAGTTTTTTTTTTTTTTATTTGAATGATTTATAATGATTTGTTTATTAAAGCTTATCCGCTTACGCTTACAAGCATACCTATGCTTATTGGATGAGCTTGCAAACCTGTAATCAATGTTCTGTTTTTAAACTTTTATTTTGTTTGTTTTGTTTGCTAAATATATAATATATATATTATTATTGTTATTATTATTATTATTATTATACATATAACCATGCCTTGTGTTCACTGATTTATGTAACACAACATTAGGTATGTTAGATTAAATTAGGACTTTTTGACAAAGTGTAAAAATGCCTAAATACACATTTCAATTTATTAACCTGTTCTGGTTGTTAGTACATAATACAATTATATTATTTTAAATATCAACACTTATTTTAATATAATATTTTAGTAGCACTATTTTTTCCAAGTCATCTTATTTTAATAACTATGACTTACATAAAATTAGACTAAATAAGATCCATTTAAAATTCTTCAATAAGTTTTTTTGATTAATTGAAATGTATAAACCTATTCAAATTAGTTATGTTTAGGTAGGTACACTTTTTTGGTAAACTGTGCTCGATTCTTATAGAATCAAATATTTTATTTCAATATTAAAACTATGACAATTATTATATATAAGTATATAACATTAATTATGATTCAAGCTATAGAAGTTCTGTTTGTTCGATTTTCAACATTTTAATAATTCAATAAATGTTTTTATAATATAATTTTAAATGGCTCTTGTTCGGAGAATTTTTATTATGTATTAATGTTTAATATAATATAGGTTGTACACACATCACACATTGCATAAGGGTTAAACATTTAAAATGTTTACTATGTGAACATGATTCAGATTCTAATTGAGTATTCCCAAGTTGGTAAAGACAATATGGTATTGTTTATTATTCACGAGTCATTACTTCTTTATTTATTATTTAAATTGATTCAATTACATAGTTATTTCTTAGCTTTAAACATTGTTTGCATTTAAAATATTTATAGTAGGTCAAATGTTGAGGTTAAGTTAATTTAATTAAGATAGAAAAATATATTTTCATTATTGTTATTTTATGAATTTTTGGATTTTTGATCATTTGCCAATTTACAGTCTACTATTAAGTAACGATCTACCCAAATATAAAAATAAATTTTAAACATTATATGTTTCGTTCTGATTTTATATTGTGTGAGACGCATAATGACCTACTGTCTAGTTCATCTTTGTATTTAACTGTTTAAACATTTTATATAGACTACATTCTAATTTTTTTTCACATTATAAAGTGAAGTGTGATGCAATCATATGGCATGGACTCAACTTTTTTTTTATAGATTAATGGAGTACGTATTGTTTTATTTGAACATATTTTTTAAGTATATACCTTTCCAATACAACAGTTTGAAAATTGGAAAATGTAATTAATATTTTGGATAAAGCACATCCACAAAAAGTGTACCTACAATTTTATTATTGCTCCAAAGTATGCACAAATTATTGTACTAATAAAGCTATTATTAATTAATAAGAAAAATTAAATTGTTAAATTGTATAAATAATACCAATATGTAATATTAGATAATAGGGTTTTAAAATGTCATGAAACTCGTTTTATTGAAATATTTCATTTATGTGAACAATAAAAATAAATTGTTTATTGTAATATCTAAAAGTTTATAGTTGTAAAGTTATAGCAAAAGAACATTTTTAAAAGTTGGTTTATTTTATTGAATACTAATAAATAATTAACCCAATTCATATGTAATAAATAAACCAATAATATAATAACTAGATAGCATTTATACCTAATTTATAACAAACAAATTAATAACTTTGTATTTTGTAAACCTTGGTTGTTAAGTCATTCATTATCAATATTTTCAGTAGTGATGGTAAGAATCAAGTGACTTTGATAATTGAGAGTTTGAACAATCTAGATTTTCACTCAAAAAAATCTTTTGGTTAGTATTAATAGTAGGTAGTATGAAACTTTGATCCTTCATTAATTTCGCACGACAGCGTGAAATCGTTCACCCAATTCATCAGTCACTAATCAACAAAACACACCAAACGTACCTATTACATGTATATTTTTGTTATTATTATTATTTTTTAATCTTTATAATTGTGTTTCCTGGACTTAAGTTTACTATAATCTTTAACTCGTTGTTATAATTTATTTTAAAACTCGGTATTTTATAAAATGAAAAATATTTATATTAGAATTTAAAAAAAAAATTATTTAGTCCACATTTTATGTAGGTAATAAAAATGTAGGCATATTGTATGTTATATATTATTATAATGATAAGAGTAAAAAAATGTGAATTATATAATGTAAGAACTAAGAACTGGCATGGACATATCAGACCAAATCAAGGAAATAAATAAAAATAATTTTAAATGTCCACAATTTATTTATTATTATTTTTTTTTTCTATGCGTATATTATATTATTATTAATTTAAACACTTGTACCCATATATATATTAAATAGAGTAATCAATTAATAATTTATTAATACATATTATAGTGTGTATAAAATATAAATAATAAAAAAAATAGTATTAATTAACACATTATTATGTGTAGAGTTCTCCTGTAATATTACAATTAAAAGTTAATACTTGCTTAAAACTGTTGCATTTCGAGAGATTAAATACCAATTATAAATTGATGTACTTATTGAATGTTTATATTTGTTGCAAATTTTTCAAAAGTATGAGTGAGAAGTGCAAAAAAGTAATTGAATAGGATAGGTGATTAATCTTATTATATTATAATGACCTAGAAATTATTAATTTTCATTTGATTGTTTTGTAGTTGATACCGAGATAGAAGATATCACTCCATTTCTTTTATAATAATTCGACACAATCGATTAATTCAAACAATCGAGTATTTCACTTCTTTTCTCTCGATTATTCCCATTACTAATTTTTGGTGTGTAATCAAAAATAATTGTAGATAATTTATAACCGAATACGTTTAAAAGAAAAAAAGTATTTTTCATAATTTAAATTGAAAATT